GGAAAAAGCGAGCCAAGGATAACCACTCGTCGCGAGGTGCATTGCTCGGTCGCCGGCTGAAATAATGCATGCAAAAAGAGGGAAGATCAGAGAGATGCTGTGGTTCTTTAATAACACGCCGTGTGATAAATGAAGTTCTCCGCCCCAAGAGCAGAATAAATAAAGCGGAGTTTTCTCGAAAATGAACACTGCTTTTAGTTTCCCAGCCAAGTCAAAGGAAATGTCAGTTTCCCTGTACTTTTTAAATAACTAATTCAAAAGAGTTGCATTGCTCAAGATTTTCTCTTGCAAAATAACTGCATTATTTTAATGTCAGAAATTCACTTATGGAATAATTTTTGTTAAAATTTTTTCTACTAGATAGTTTTCTTTAATTTTATTTCTTTTTAAATAAATTGAATTTCCCTTAGATCAGTGAGACAAGATGAATGAATCTGAAGATTTTTTTTTGTAAATCGATATAATAATTGACCAAGCAAGTTTGGTCCAATATATATTTAAATTATTCTTAAGATTATTAAATAAAAATTGCAAAAATATTATAAAAGTTTAAAAATTACATTAAATGAATTATTTCAATACAAAGTAAATAAATAAATAATTTATTGCATTATTTGAAAGAATATAAAAGATAATATTTTAATATGAAGAATTTAACAAAATTATATTTGGAATATTAATTTATAATACCTTTTTAATTACTCTCCTTCAATGCATTAAAAGTTAAACTATTGTTTAATGCCTGAATTTAACACGTCTTCTTTTTTGCAAACGATCACTAATTTTAAATAAAATTTAGCGATAATTTTAAACCTTCTAAAAAAAGGTATCATAGGAGTAGATTTCTATGATTATCGCCTTGATCTAATCGTTACCTTACGAGACAAGGCTGATTGCAGATCATTGACTTTTTAATTGGCTGAAATAAAATAAACATTTTGAGGAAATATATTTCACAAAAATAGAAATCCCCTGCTTTGAAAATATGTGATTTTTGTGTGTCAATGGATTAGAGATAATTACACGTGAGCCAATCATGGCTCGCTGTATAGCAGAAGCCATATTATTATACGATTTTGATTGTTTTAGCGTAAATTCTTGATAGTCATGGTGCCATTTCATGCAGTTTGACAGTACTCAAAAATCCCCGTTATTAAATTTTTTTATCTTTCATTTAAAATCAAATAAATAATTTGATTTGTAATATATTGGAAATTGTGGAGAATTATAGAAAATAGTAAAAGAAAACTTAATTTTTGTGGCTTAGTTTTAGATTGTAGTTTAAATTAATTTTCTCAACTAACTATGTGAATTTAATTTTGTTGTAAATTTAAGCTCGACAATTGTTTTCATTTGTTTGAAATAAAATACTAAAAGCAGAAGCTGTGAAAAGATGAAAGACTAAAAAAATGGGCGCAAAGGTCACTCTTGCGTAAAAAAATGGACGCTGCCTCTAATTTTGGCCGGCCTGAGCCGTATGCACACGGAAAATTTAATTAAAAAACTGCAAAGCGCAAATTCCACGCACTGCCAGGCGTACGAATTCATTTGAAGGTTGGTACACAAGAGCAGCAAACGCCGCGAACCGCCGCGGTCGGACAAATGAAATAGCCGGCCTGGTGCAAATTCCACGTGAAACAAAGAGCAAAACCGGCTCCAAAGGCCTTTGTTTGTTGCAACGCGCGGTTTGCGTGCAGAGAAACGAGATAATCCACCGAGCGACCCTCTTTCGCGGCGTGAATTTTAATTCGAGAGGCGAAGGCAAACTTTTTAAACGTCTTTTCCGAGCGACGCCGGCTGCGAATTGATTTTTACCATGTTATCAAATTATAATTATTTTCATACTTAATAAGATGCGCCGGAAAAGTTTTTGCCGGCTCAAAGTTCTTTTTTTTATCAACCGTCGGAAAAGTTCCATCTGGACGCTCATCCCCTTGGTCTTTGCAAATCCGTTTTCAATAAGCCCTGTTCAGACAGGCGCTCTGATTGAAAATTTCACCAACAACCCACGCAGATTAAAGGCGTTGAAACTTCTCCCTGAATACTGACACTTTTTCATCACAGATAAAAAAAGAAAAAAAAACATGGAGTGAAAACTCTTTCTCGTTATCTCCATAGATGGAGAGATTTGAAAGTGTTATTTTCGGAAAAGGCTTAAATAAATAAACAAACACATCAAATGTCCCTAAAATAATTTTTTTTTTCTTTTTCATAATATCATAATATTCATTTATCAAAGTTATATAATATATTTTTTCAGATTCTATTTGGCAAATTATTATATTTACAATAAATTTTAGCGTCAATTTCAAATTCAATTTATTTACTCCATTTATGGATGAAATTTCAGTATGTCAAATAAAAAGACCTGCAATGGAATTTTAATCTAAAATTTGAGGACTTTCATGTTGCTTAATTTATTTTTCATCGAACTTTGTATTAAAGATTGTGAATTTAATTCAAAATTTTAAAATTAAATCAATCTAGCCCCCGTATTATAATTTAACAAAGATAACGTGAGACCTGCTCTACAAAACACACATGTACTGATAGAAAAGAAAATTAATTTAAGCAAAGTTTAACCCAAATAAAACTTTTGGATAAAATATATTTATATTTTAAATATTTTTTTCCTGTTCAAATAAATTATGTTAAATAATTAATGTTATATTAAATTTTTTTGGTAATACTAAAATTTTTAGTTTATAATTTAATTTGTAGCAATGATGTGCTGTGATTTTTTTTAAAAAACTACATTAAATTTGAAATGTGAAAATTCTATAAATATAATTTCATTATCAAGTTTTTTAAGTAATTGTGGTTGACAAATAATTTCTTCTTGCTTTTTGTATGTTGCTTATGAAATTAATATAATTAAAATGATGACGTTGCATATTATTTCAAAGGATATAAACTGAACTCATTAAATTTTGCGTTTGGCTCATCTCGCAGTTGCAGATGTTGTGGTCAGAGTATGGAACTTTCAATCAGTAACGTGGCACGAACGAACGTCGATCAGAGCTACGGGAAAGTTCACATCCACCGTAATGGCTAAATATCGATCGGGGCTCACCTGCGTCTCGAATTAATAACCGCACAGCCCGCGGGTCTGCTCTTGACGCAACTTTACGTGCTTTAATGCACCCCGTATTTATTAGCCGGCTCGGGGAAAAATGAAGCCGAGCCAAATAACCAAATACACCGCCGACGGCAGCCACTCTTCCGCTCGGTGCGCGCAAAAAAAGGGGGCGAATTACGAAAAAACGCGACATCTTTTTTGCGCGTTCTTTTCCGCAGGGCGAAAACCTGCTCGAGTCAGTTTAACTTATGACTGGCGCGCGTAATTTATGTCCCCTTAATGAATCGTGCCCGCTGCAAAACGTTCTTTATTATTTTTGTACGTCAGAAAAACCGTCTGTCGCCCTCGTTGCTAATGGGAGGCGGGGAAAGAAATCTCCACTTCGCAGTAATTAATTTTCAATTAAAACTGAATGCGACAATTTTTCTAAAGAGGTGGTAAAAACGATAATTATTGCTCATTTATAGCCGTTTTTAATTGTTAAATTAAGCAAGAACAATAAATAATTGTTAAAAAATTTTAAAGTCATGATTTTATCGAATTTGAAAGGCCATAGAATTTATAGACTGAATTTAAAATCTCGATCGAAAAATTCCCAATATTGAGAGTTGAAATGGGGCATCATTCACCTTTTCCTGCCAAAAGCATGAATTTTCTTGGTGTTTTTATCAACAAATTCAATCAAATAAAAGCAATTTAATTCTCTCAGACATTGAGATTCCTTTCAGTTAAAATTTTGTATTATCTGTAGTTTTTAAAAGAATTTTGCATCTTCAACTTGACGTATTCAATCGAGAAAGATGTGGACTGAAAGTTTCAGTTTCAACTGCTTTTAGCGGGGAGAAGCTTTGTTGAACTCGTATTTAATTTAGGAGTGTGAATTTCTGGAATAAAAACCAAATTTTGCATTCTTTTGAACTCTAGAGTAAAAATTTAAAATTCAACCTTTTTGTGACATTTTCAGTACATCTGGTGTCTGGTTTGAAATTGGCTTTTGTCACCCAAAAAAATTATATGTTCCAATTCCTATTTTAAATCATATTTATTCTTCAATTTAAGGTCATCTGCACATTTAATGCTTTTTCCTAATAAATATTTAATCTAGGATTTTAATTTATGCCTGGAGATAACTTTGAATCACCAAAACTTGCACCTCATTTGGCAGTCTGGTCATTTTAGCCAAAAAGCAGTTGGCATTTCCAGCTTCAAAGGCTCTCTCTGGGTAGCAATTGAAGCAATTTAATTAGCCGGCGGACGTCCCATTTGCAAGGTTGAAAACAGCACTCAACGCGTATGTGCTTGTCTTGCCATATCGCAGCTCCTTTCACATGCAAAATGCACACCGTGGGCTGCGTCGACGCATTAAAACGCCTCCGGCTTCACTCAACGTTATTAATGCGCGCCTGTCACGCCGAATTTCGCGCACCGCGCCGAGCATTAAATTATTTTCGAGACACGCGCCACTCGAGTGTAAGGAAAACTTAATACGGCTCAGCGACACTTTTCTAAATTGGCAAAAAGCAGGGAGGTAAAAGAGCTCATAAATATAATGAAGAAAAGGAAAGAACGCAAAAAAAATTCCAGCTCATACTTTTATGCAAAAGTATGAGGACTAGAATTAAAATTAAAAAAAAGGCAATTGACAATGAGAAACAAAGAAATTCAAATAAAAATGTACCCCACAGTACACTATACAGCTAATTTAATTAAGAAATGTGCAAATAATGTTAAGTTGCAGATACTTTGATTTTTTTTTAATTGATCCTTTTCACTCATCAACTAATAATCAAGCCGCAAAAATTAGTTTTTTATGTAAAAATTTACATAATTATGTTGACAAATTAAAGCTCAACGATGTTAACAATTTCAAATAAATCTATTTATAAATTGAAAAAATCAAATTAATTATTGTTTGTTTCAGTGTCTTGAATCGCAGTCCGTTGCACCTGATCCACGAGATCATCCTTGTAGACGATTTCAGCGATGACCGTAAGTATTAAAAACTGAACTATCGTTATTTTATTTTTTGATGGTGAATCTATTTTATTGAAATGAATTAACAAAACCGAATTATACAATTTTTTAACTAAAATTGAGGTCTAGAACCACCTAAAAATTCTATAATCTAAATTCGTTTCACTTTAAAGCCAGCTTATATAATTTAAAAAAATTTAATTTATAAAATAATAAGCTTGATTATCTAAATGAAACTCATTTTCACTCAGTAAAATCAACTCAATATTCCTCCGAAAGTCACATATTTTTTTCTCCAATCACAATTATTTGAAATTGTGAAAGAGTTGAAAATTGGTATTGCGAACAACAGGAAAAAGCAATTTCATTTCGTTCCAATCTGCGCGGATTGAATTGTTAAAAGCTGAATTAATTAGTAGGACGGACTCTCGTCCGGCCCGATTGGCCGCGATCAGATTTGTAAATTCGAATGAGTGCGCAGACCGCTGGATGCCAGTTGCTGTAGCGATGAATAAATAAATAACAACTGCATACAACTTGCTTTAACGAACGATGAGCTCCATCGGACGGAATTAATCAGCCGCGGGCCTTGCAGAGATGCGGCTGTTTGCCACCATTTGTTTATTTGTTGCGTCCGACATGCGCCCAAAGTGCAAATATTGATCAGTAATTAACGGCTGCCGGTCGATTTTCATAGCATGAAAAAAAATCAAATATCATCTATTATCCATTTGCTTGAAATATTTAAATCATGCATCAAATTGGACACAATAATTACAGTGGCCCATTTTCAAATATGGATGCATCTGATATGTGAAAAAAGTCTTCTTGATTTTATGATTTCTTTATTATTTGCTCAATTAGGAATTAGGAATTCCTTAAATAGGTCTTTGTGATAGTAGTAATTTTTCTGTTTAATCAGATTTAGGACTTTTGTAGAAAAATATGCTTATTGAAACTTTTCTCCAAAAAGCATTTTGAGACAATATATTAAGGAAATTCGAATCAAAGTACTATAAATTCTTTATAATTATGTCAGTTTTGACAAATAAATTTTAGAAGAATAATTAAGTAAAATTGTTAATTTAAAAAAAAAAAATCAAACAATATAAGGCAGAAATTAATAATTTTTGTACAGTTTTTTCCTTATTTTAAGTTATCATATTTTAAACCATTAAAATAAGTTGTTCTTTGTTCCCCATGTGTTTGTTTAGGTTTCAAGTTTTTGAAGTTGAAACATGTTAACTTTTATCACAGAAGATAATTAAAAATTATAAACAATCAACTTAACAAACTCCACTGAATAGGAATATTTTATTCATATTTTATATTTACTTTACCTTTCTCTTAAACTATGACGAGATGGTAAAATATTTATTATTTCAAACACGAACTTTTTTTTCCCATTTCTTTCTGTCAAAAGAGCTTAAGTTCTCTGAATGGTCAACTGTCTAAAAAATCCATTGATTCTGAAGTTTTACACTTTTACGATTATGCTCCTTTTTTCACAAAGCATTGCGACTCGGCTGGCGACGGTCCTGAGTGCGTACATTTCTATTCGGAAACATTTTCCATACAAATGCGGAAAAGTTGGGGAGTTCTTTTTGATTGAGATCGTTCAGGCCCACACCCTGTGCTTCGCGGAAAAGAACCTTCCCTTCCGAAGCACAAAGGAATCGCTCGGATGAGGTTTCGGGTCTTTTATACATTTGTGGAGAACGGGAGGCCACCGAAAAGAGAAATCATTATAACGCCAATTTTTCTGTAAATATTGATTTTTGTTATTAAAAACGGGCGCGCGCGCGAGAGATGATTTTATCCGGACGGACGTTTGAGAAATGAGGTGTAATTTCCAGCGAGAATCGGAATAATAACGATTGTGTGCTGCAATAACAATGAAGCGTCGCCGACTGCGAGAATATAAATGGGCAGCATTCTCTCGGTCGCGACGTTTGTCATTTTTGCGGATTAATTTTGTCTCGTTTCGCGTGTGCGTTCGTGCGAAAACGCGCGCGCCCTCATAATGAAGAGCCGCGGATTTACGCACTCTCCTCTCTCCATTCAAATCTCGCCGCTCGAATATAAAGCGAAATAAAAGCGTCGACGGAATTGTGATTTAGCCGCCGCATGTACACGTTACAAAATGACGATGGTGTATTCAGCCAATTTTCGAGTTTGTTTTTACAATTTTATGCAAGTGCAGCCATCATTTCAGAGAGTGACACACGCGGGAGTATAAATGCGAGCGGATTTACATTGCAAAATAAAAAAAAACATGCACGGTCAAAGTGATAATGGAGAATAATGAATTTTATGTCCGTAATATTTAACAGAAAAAATAGCTTAATTTAAAAATGAAAAAAAAGTTTCATTTTAACAAAAAAATACACACATTATTTGATTTTCAATAAATTTAACTTGTATTTATTAGGTTTTTTACTTATAATATATATTTTTTTAATTATGCGATAAATTTAGTGTCATATAATTGTTCATAAACTTCCATTTCGCGAGTTTATTGTTAAAAAAAACATAAACAGATCAGTTTTTATATTTCATATAAAGTTGCCGTGTGAGAAGGAGATCATCTCTAGTTAAAATGAAAATCATTACTTGTGAATTGTGAATTCGATATTCAATCATATTACTTTTGCACTTTAGATTGAGGCCAATGTACAATTTTAATTCAATGAAATAACTTTTGATTGCAAAAAAATATTTAATGATGTATCATAGAGGCAATCGGTGCACATTTTAACTCAAACTACTCTTAGTAAATTCAAAATACATCTGTAAATTAAATATTTTCCGCTTATCGCTAATTCAAAGTTGCGAAAGGTCGCAAAGTGTGCATATTATATTTCAAGCGATACTTTTTCGATTACAAAGTGAATTTTAAAACAAAACTGTCAGTATTTGTCATTTGTAAGAGAAATGATCTTGAACATTGACCTCTTCATTTGATTATGAAGTGCGTTTTTTTTTTAAAGTAATTTTTGTTTCATGAGCATGGATATGAAAGAATTAAAAATGCAAATGGTTTTTTAAAGAAAATTTCCATATCACAAAAATCAAGATCGCAATAATCCACTAATACAAATCTTAAAATTGTGCTAACCCACTCTTTCCTGTACACTCAAAATCTCGTTTATCGATAAGAATTTTGCAAACTAATTGTAAGCTTTGTTTTTCATCAATAACTAAAATTTTTTGTCCTTTTAATCTTTCATGAAATGTAATGGATTACTTTATTTATATTTAACACAAATGGCACCAAAAACATCAAAGCATTTCACATCAAACGGATCAATTTCTAATATGTGAAATTCAAATGAAAGGTCTGAACGCCATCGGTCCATTTTTTTAGCAAAAACCTTTTCTGTTATCAAAATTGACACCATAATTCAGGACAAACAGAATTTATTTTCGCCTTTGAAGCGTCGCCAGGCCTTGTTTGTGTGCGGTGGTTGTTGCGCCTGCTGCTAATTATTATTTGAGCGTCGACGAGCATGTTGAGTTGCGGTCATTATGCGAGGACAACCGGGAACTGCGCGGCACAAACCGTGTTGTTTGTCCACGGCATTAGCCCGCTTGTCCCGGGCCATTATCGCCGGGTGTGCACACGTGCATGCACGGACCGTGTTTTATTCTCCGGCCGGAGGATCAAAATGAAAAACGCGCGTTGATCAATACCGGCGAGTGCAAGAGAGAAAATCGAAAAAGAGGACAACGGTGTGCGGTGGCTGCCGAAAACTGATAATTTCTCTTTTTTTCCAATAAAATGTTTGGATAATTTTGATTATATTCAAATACATTGTCATTCTTAAGAAATTTTGTAGGCTCAATTTTATTTGAAAATATCGCTTTGAAGCTAAAGAGTCTGAAAAGTAGTTATCATTTTCATATTTAAACTTGGGGTATTTTATTTTTAATTTAATTCCAGTTCTTAAAATTTCTGATGGCGCTGATTTTCAAAGAAGCTCCACGTGTAATTTGAATAAAATAATTTACATTAAATTTTATTGTCAGACATTAACAATTATATTTAAAATTCAGTAGAAGAAAGTAGTATAATAAAGCCATGTAATATAAAAGAATCCATTACCTGAATAAATTTTAGTATGAGTAAAAAAAATCAATGAAATGTGGTAAATTTTTAAAATTGCAAAACGCCAAACCAATCAAATTTTAAATGTTTTTGATTTACTTACCGGAAACAGAAACGGGAGAGGTAGTTATGCAACATGCTCAACAGCACTCATCAACCTGTTAATCACTGCGCACTGTTAATCGTTGATAAATTATTAGCTACTTTGCATTCAGTCAGTTTAATCTGAATACTATTTATTCACTTTGTAATTAAGGCTTGTTTCATTAATAGAAAACAGTGAAAACACTATTCAGTATTAATCTCAACAAAAGCAATTAATTACCTAAATTATCAGGAGGGTAAACTTTGCAATTCATTTGATAACTTCACTCTTTTTATTTATTCGGGCCATAAAATGAATTTTTAACCTTCAATTGAAAAAGTTGTTTATATGTTTATGGTGCTTTGATCGATTTTTTTTTATATAAATTGAGCAATGAAAATAGCAGACTTATTCAGACAGTTAAAATATATTGATTTTAAAAATTCGTTAATATAATGGAAAAAAAATTGAACTACAAAAATCAACACACGTTTGTTTTTGCAATAGGATGAGAGCCCATTAGGTGCGAGTGAAGTTGGCGGACAAAAGCGAATTAAGAGCCGCGTGCGCCGAGGAGTGGCGCGCGGCAGCCGCGGCAATCAATCACCGCATCGGTTCATTCGTTCTCCGTTCGGGCTCATTTTCCAAGGCTCGTCCAACGTGATCGCGTTTTGTGCCCGGCGCTCATAACTCGAGAGAAGGTTGCTCAGACGTGATAGACACCAGAGGCAGGCGTGGTAGGATAATTTGAGCGAGACAACTCGATCGGCCGGTTGCTTTTACTCGCCGCCACCGCAGCCTCCGCTCGATCCATCGAACCGG